AAAAATTCTCTGCACACAAAACCTATAATTTTCATATTACTATCATACTAAAGATAAATTCACTTTAAAGCCAACACTTAAAACATTTTAAACAAAAAAAAGGTACCAGTACCTACACACAGACAATAACAAATACAAGAATACTGTACTGCCAAGAGGTTTGACTGAAACTCCTTTTGAAAGCTTCTGCAAATATGTTAAGAAAACATTGGAGAACATTCACTTTTTTCAAAGAGCCTTCCCTCCCTGTCTAACCTAGAGGTACTTTATCATCAAAAGGCAAGTTCTATATCAAAAGTTACCAGCAGCAGTACAATATTAAAGTAACCACTGACCATATATGAATATGCTTAAGTCACAAACCCATTTTATACACATTACACAAATAAACAATAAAGTGAGAATTCCATTAAGTCATTTACAAATGTGAACAAATGCACATGGCAAAAAAACCCCAAAACAAAACAAAAACCCAACCTGTTTTACATAAAATGTACTGAAGAATTAAAGGCTATTCAGGTTTTCAATGTTATAAAATTCTTTTGTCTTTTTTTTTCAGGCACATATTGTATTTTTTGTCTGCAGTCATGAGCCTGAATCAGAGGCCCATAAAACAAAACAAAAACAAAAACACATATTCTGTAAGGAGGTAACAGGGATCCATCTCCTTTTAGTCAACTGAGTGCATTTAAGATTTAATTTACACACTAAAACTAATTACATGATCTCAGCAAGAATGACCTGAAAAGTTAAAAGATGAAGATGTCCGAAGTATTTCTTGTACTTTTACTTATCCAGCCTCAATCTTTTTTAGGGGGCTAAACATCTTGTTATGAGAGATATAAGAGGGGGAAAAGAGACCATCCTGAGAAAAGTACAAAACCGGACTCTATTATATACATCTGCTGTGTGAGCGGGTACGTGTGTCAGCATGGGTCAAGTAAAGGGTAGACAAAAGGTTTCTCAGTATGACTGACTGAGTGATCCAGGAAAACGATAAGGGGAACTGCTTCAGAAAGCAAGTATGCCCTAGGACTTGCAGTGGGAAAATAAATAGATATGGATTAGTACGTCAAATGTCGTATCTGCCTTGAACTGGCCAGTTACTTACATTCAACATTAATGTACACCCTTCATTATTTCAAATAGCCTATACCGTGGAGGTTTTAACGGAAGAAGCTACTGCCAAACTTAATGAGCTGTAGCTGCGGTAGAAAGGGAAAGCGAGAAACAGGCATTAGATCTGCAATTCCTTCAAAATAGTGGTGCAGTACCTAAACAAAATCATTTTGGAATTCAAGTAAGTATAACTACGTTTGTTAGTAGTAATTTTTAACAGCCCCAAATGGTACCATTATGCTTATTTTAATGAGACAGAAGTGTAGTTTATCACAAATATTGACTAGTACAGCTGAAACGTTTGGTAATAACTGAAAATATATGCTCTACTTGTGGGGCGAAAGTGTCTTTGCCCTACCTCATTCTCATTGAGTTCAACAGGATTACTTGTCTTATAGAGGTAAGTGAGATTTAGACCTTGAAGGAATAATAAAAATAATAGTTTAGAGACAGGGAACTTGAATTATCACAATATTTACCACACAGTGTCACAATATTTCTATATATAAAAAGTTAATCTTCGTTTTCATCAAATACTTTAAAAATCAAGTTAAAATTGTATTCACAACTATATAATCCCTCTGACAGCTTTTGGTTTTGCTGATACTTGTTCTTTCTGACATCGTTTTGCTTAAAATCTTGCTCCTCTTCCCATCAATTTTAGTTGTAGTGTACAGTATGGCCCCCGTTCACAGCAGGTATCAAATACAAACACATTATTAAGAGGAGCTAGGTTTTTTTTTTTCCCCAAGACATCATCTGGGAGAAAAACAAAACAACACAACCCTGTGTTTTGAATCGTGCTGGCCAGAGTTTCTCTAACAGCACCTTCATCCACAACGCTCACACTCAACATTTCAATGCTTAAAACCACACAAATGCATTTACCCTAGCTATTGTCTGTTCTCCGTTTTCATCTTGTTTTATGCATCTGACTTTCAGCATGCACAACTTTGTAAACAAAAATCTTCTGTCTAAACAAAAAATCTTCACAGATACCGAAATATTATTAGAGGAGAACAATAAAGTCACATTTGTCCACTGTCTGAAATTCTGCAGTATATGGATCTCGCATTATGCAGATGCACGAGTGGGTGAAGAGAATATAAATGTGAATCATTTTCATTTTTATATCACTGACAAATCAGCTGCTGGTTTGCAGTGCTGTCAGAAATGGCAAACAGTAGATTATTCTTCAGCAGGTTGATCATTAGCAAAATTACTTTGCTATAAATGGTGCTCTTTTGTGAATGGAGGCCTGTAGATTCAACTTATTCCAATAAACCAAAGGCATTACGGTGATAACTAAATATTTTTGGTCTCTACAAATTGTCATTATTATGGCAGCACTTTTCTAAGCTGGAATTTCAAACCAAAGGCACTTTCATGCTAGAGTGCAGAAGAGTCACAATTAATTATTTGGTCATGAAATTTAAAAAGGCAGCATTTATTAATACAATTCACTTTTCATGGAGAACTAAGAATCTGTAACCTTTCCTTTTGGTATACCCATTCAACTGCGTAGTAACGGGACTGACTTGTACAGAAGTTTAGACCAAGCAGTCAAAGAGCGTTTCTGTGGGAAAAAATACAGATATTTTTAAAAATGGAACCAATTAATAAAACAATATATAAAATTTACGTTAAGAGGCTAAAGGTACTTCTAATATAATGCTAAGGCACTGCATATTGTAATGCTTTGGCAGCTCTCAATTAAAAGGTTCCTACAAAAACGTAACAGTAACAAGATAAGTACTTCCAGCTTACAAAAGAGCTCACAGTTTACAGGCAGCCTGTTGGACTACACACCCCACACTGAACAGTTGAAGGATTAAGGCTTTTAAGAATTAACATATACAGGGTATGGATCATTTACAGAAGTGTAAAGAAAAGACGATGGAAGTAGTTTCCCTAATATTACATATGTGAACACCAATAAACATCGTGACTTTTTATACCCTATAGTTATGGCATATGTAATGTGCCAGATTCTATTAAAAAAAAACTGTACCTGGTTTTGCAAATTGACTTACATACTTTATATGCCTCAAAGAGCTTGCTTGTTACTAAAAAAAAAAAACATAAAATCACCAAAACCACAATTCAAACCCTAAATAAAAGACAACTTTAGAACAAAATAAAACAAAAAAGTAGTTTTTGACTTGTAACACCAAGTGCTTAGAATAAAGGGCTACCGTTAGGCTGTTACAATGCAGTGCTTTTCCTGATGTGATTGTTAGTGTTAAAAATGAGTGTTAAAAGAGACCTTACCATGGACATATCTCTCTGTTCAGTTCACGGAATAGAAACCGAAAGATCATCAGCCCTAATATCCACAAGCAGGTAACAGCTAGACATCACAGCAGTCATCCACCTACTAGAGTTAGATCAGAGGCAGGCTAAGGAATTTAAGCAGTCGCCTTTCCCCTCAGTGACATTTGTATCGTCCGCTAACCGGAGTCCTCACCAGTGTTGAGTACGAACATGGTCTGATGCAGATGTACAGCAACCTGCTACTTCAGCTAGGCTACATTCTAGTCTAGATAATTCAACAATGGGCAATTCTAACAGAGGGTACTATGCAGAAATATAATATAAAAAAGTAAGACTGGCTTTTTTGAAGACTACAGTGCTGTGCCTGGGACTAAATTCTAGACTTAAATTGTGCATGGGCGCATATCGGTAAAGGGCAGGGACCTTCTTGATTCAGGACTGCAAAAGACCTTCCCAAGAACACTCTTTGCCGATACCTCATGACTGATCTTTAAGGTGGCTTGTGCTTGGCCGGGCAGCCCTCAGCCTTTCGGACAAATGTTTTGTGTGAGAACCTGCGGCTGGCCCAGCACCTGCTGAAACAACTGCTGCTCAGGCAACTGAGGGGCAGTGCTGGCTGTGCAGCAGAAGAAAAGAAACTGAGCAACACTCGGTTTGGCCAAGGAGGTGTAGCCAGGAGGAATGAGACTACTTCTCTTACATGTGCGTACCTCAGACAATCACTCACACCCACATCCATGGTTTGAAGCCTTACAGTATTAAAATATCTCCAGCTGAACTTCACTTCCTGGAGTCTTCCCTGAATGTATCAGAAGGATGAATGTTAACGCATCCGGATGCAAAAGGACATCAGACCCCACGTGGTACGAACGCGTTTGTTTCAGATAAGGTCTTCGCCAGTCGGAACTGGAGAGACAACTGGGAGAGGTGTAAGAGCACCATGATAAAGAGGAAAAGGAGGAAAAAAAAAAAAAAATCCCCACTTTCCAATCTTCTTTGCCTGATGTTGGTTGTGATTTTTCTAGCATCTCATAGATATTAAAGCTGTTGATCCTTTCAGAGGTGTATGTATTCTTCTTTCAAACACATTAGTGTTTTGCTTTCAGTTTACAAATTACTCAATGCTGTCGCAATGTCAGTTGTTTCCGTTCATCTGTTAATTTCAGAGTTGCAAGTTTTTCACTCAACTTATTAGAAAACATAGTTGTCCATATAAAATATAACTGCACACACAAGACTACATATAATGTGAGTCTAAATCTTCAGTATTTACCTACTTATTGCAAAATGAGCCATCTTTTCATTAAATAATCAAATTTTCATTAGTACAATACAACTTTATACTCTTTTAAAATACACTAGATATGTTAGGGGTAAGGGATGATGTTTTCTTTCTCTGCAATACCTGTTTAAAAGTTTAATGGATTAGAAGATTAGTTTTAGCGTTGAGAAAAAAATACAAAATTTGCCTAATTTTAGGACCTGTCTGTTTCTATCAGGCATTTCTTAAGGCTATATTTTTCATTTGGTTTCAAACAGAAAAACGTTTCATTTTAAAAAATAATTTAGTGAATTACATTCGTCCATATCTTCCACCCTAATTAGTTACAAAGATAATTCTATAAAGATTATTAACTTTGTGTACTCATTTACAGTTATAGCTAAAGATTCATTTCAATTTCACTTGCATTGTAAAACAAGTATTTCATGTTGGAAAAAAACCCAAAATAAATTCTTATAAATGCTGTCAGTTTTTCCCCATGGCAAATGCTCTGTCATACATTTTTCTATCAGAATTAAAAATAGGCCTCCACAGACAGAGGCGATAAGTTCTTAAATACAGTCTTCCCAAAGAACTGTGGTTTACAAATTTGAAGAACACTTAGTTTTAGAAATAATTTTTACAACTGTACCAGAATTTCACAGCTACAATTATATATGAACACATTAAAAATGACTTCACTAAAACAGGATTTAGAAAAATGTGGGTGAAAGTTGGGCCAGAGGCACTGCCACTTAGTGTTGAGGTTTACAGTCTGTGTTTTGATAAAGAAGTGAAATGAAGTGTATATATAAATAACTGCTCAGTCCTTTACAAGCCTGTAGATATGGTGCTGTGCTCCATGTTCGCTGTTCGACACTTCAAATACACAAGCCATGCAGAGCAGGGTTTCTTGTGTATCCCTGTTTGTTACAACCTGTTTGAGGGGAAGGCAGAGGTAGACAATAGATTACAAACTTGGAAACACCAGGGCCAAAACAAGAAACGACTGGCTTAATTAAAAACAATCCTTAGATGTGACTGAAATGTGTGTCCTCTCGCCCTCTCTTTGGCAATTTAAACCGACCTCCGTGACTGCGCTCACATAATGTGCTCTGGGGCTGAGCTGCAGGGCTGTAGCTCGCAGCGGAGGGCACCGAGTTCATCCCACCCCAGCTGCTTGATCATGAGCCGCCGTCACGTGGTCTTGGCTCGGCCTTCCTTGCCCTGAGCCCCACTTCAGCAAAGGGAAGCAGCGCACCCTCGTCACCTCGTCTTCGCTTGCTGAAAGGCAGCTGGGCGGGGTGCGCGTGGCTCTGTGCTCTCGGCCCTACCTCTTCCCCACGCCGCCAGCCCGCGGTCCTGCCCCAATCCCGCAGTCGCAGCCACAGCGCATGGCTCTAAGTGCGTGGCTGAGGTGCCACCGCAAAGCCACAGTGAAAGCAAGCTGGGTAACTGGATGAAACTGGCTTAAAGGCCACTATGTGGACCATTCTTCATGCTTTAGATCACCTGTTGGGTGTACCCATTACTGCATTCCTGGCCCAAGAACTAACTACCACCACTGACATTTGCAGTATTACAACCAGCATCTCAGTAAGAACACGTTAGATGAATGGGATGGTTCAAAGTTACTGCCTCAGGCTCACTAGAAACACCAGAGACTTGCATGAAAAAAAAAGAGAGAAGTAAGCTGAATTTTTGGAAAGTAACAGAGACGTTTGTTCATATTCCCAGCCAGCTTAGTCTTTTCATCCTTAGCGTCTATAGTGCACACTTCCAAGAGTATTACTCTGAAGTCAATGGGACGATCTGTTTAGTAAGCAACATGACTAAGGGATTCGGAAACTGGTTCTAAATATTACAAGTTAAGCAAGCCATACAAAGCCTGAGAATATTTTAGAAATGGAAAAATAAAAAGTGGGTCCATACCAATAAAATTGTAAAATTTTCCAACACGCTGTTCATCATGTATTTCTCTGGTAAATGCTTCAGCTTGTGTATGAAGTTGATCATATATTCACACATTGGAGAGCGATTTATTCTGTACACGAATCGGCCATTCTCAAACCTTGCATATTAAAAAAAAAAAAAAAAAAAAGAGCATTTAGAATCAGATAATTCAGAAATAGCAAAAAAGTGAATACTAAGTCTGTTTTGTTCTTTCTTTGTGTAGACAGAAAAAAGAGGAAGGCTCTGACAGACACACACCTACTTGCTAACTCCCTGCCTGAGCTATGCAGTGCTTTGCTAAAATTTCAAGGGCCCTTAATTATTAAAAGTTATAATATCACTACTTGTTCTCTAACCTGTGAATTAAAAAACTGAACAGAAAAGGATTACACAAAGGTAAGTCCAAGTCAAGTAAAAATGAATTAAGCAGAAAACTTTGTGGTAAGATGATTTTGCAGTAGTTTTGAGGCAACTGTCTGCAAAGGGAACAGTAAAAATAAGCTTATATATTTATGCATAAATATACACATATAGACATGGCTATATTATTGCATGATTTAATAGGCAATTTATGAATTACAGAAAGACGCAAGGCTACAGTCGGAAGAAAACCAAACTGATTTAGATTGCAGGGGCTCACAAGGGGCTGAAGAAGAGTAAGGCTCTTGGACCCCTGCTGACCAGCTACCAATTGCTCAGATGAGCTACTCAGTGGCTTGTGGGGTTTTTTGGCTTTCTCTAAACTTGGAATAATGGAAATGATGGAAAACTCTTTTATGGTCACCATGCACAGAAAACATATTTAGTATAAGAAGGACATGGACAGTGACCAGGACATCTGTAAAGGCTCAACCTGCAGCTCTAGGCTAAAATTCCCATACAAAAACTGTACTGCAGATAACAGATGTGGGAGTGGGGCTTAGTACACAGAAGACAAGTTAAACAGCTGCAGTACCATTGCACAATAAACCAGCTAGCTACCTGACCACTCGATACAGTTCTGTGCTTAAAAAGAAAAGGTGAAAAATAAATAAATAAAGGCCCTTGCATGTTAAGAAAATACACAACTTTGTATTCAAAAGCTGCTGGTGACTGGGGAAAGCATGTCTTTCTGTGCATAAAATAAGATAAAATAAGCATGGGTATAGACGAAACATAGCACACCATCTTTAAAATGTTTTAAAAATCTAGATGATAGAGGTAGCTCGCCACTGTAGTATGGTTCCAAACAGGCTACGTGGCTGGCCAAGTGTTTTTGCTTCAGCTCTTTTCTGCCAGGTGATGGAGGAGGTGGCAGTGATGTCAGCTGCAGGTTCCCCACCGAAGGGTGCCACAGGCAGGGTAGAGGAGGGTCTCCAAAGCAACAGGTAACTAGGATTTTACTTAACTGTAGTGTCACCCTTCTCACGGTGATTTAAAATGAACCCAAACACTGCTGGGAAGGAAAATACTCTTTCAGGAAGGATTAGAGGAAGGAAGAAAAAGACAGATAAGAGCAAAGTAAAGACAAGAGACAGAAAAGACTAATTAAAATGAAAGGGAACCAGAGAATCACCCCACACATCCCATCACAACACCCACCTCTACTTTTTCTACTACTTGCTTTCCAAATGAGCAGACTTTGGTGGAACAGGTGATTGTCATGTTTTCTGAGCTCTCGTACTGACTAGTGACTCCGTAAAATGCTCCTGTATCATCTTGAATGTTGCAGTTTAAGTCAGCCTGTTGGGAAAAAGTAATAGATGTTGAAGATTTTATTTTTCATTTGACAACGTCAGTAGCATAAGCTGTCATTAGCTCACCGTTCTTTTCAGAAATAAGTGGGGGGGGAGGAGTTTTATAGTGACAACAGTGACAGTGGAAAAAGTCTGTCAGGAAAGCACCTGCCTAATTGTTGCAGTAAAAACCTTAGGGAAGCGGCAATTTCTTCGAACTTTGAACAACAAAGGACAACCCAGTATTTCTCTGGGCTACAGGTGACGTTCTTGTCTGGCAGATAGCTGATGAAGTCCCTGGAGCAAGATCACCTGCGAGGAGCCTGGCTCCAGAGCTGACTCCTCTGGAGGGAACCTGCCCTGCGGCCTCAAATTCAGCTGAGCCATCCCGCTCCCGAGAGGCCATAGTTCACTTTCTCCTTTTCCCTTCTTAAAGCAATGAAATCCTCACGGCGGAGGGGGACAGCTGCGCAACACAGGAATCGATCTCTCATAAGACTGTCAAGCCACATGGCCCTGATTCAGCAAAATACTTGACTTCACGGAGCTGCATGACGCAACTCACAGGCTTCACATGAGCTGTGCACACTGAGCCGTGCCTACCCCACCAATGAAATATGACTGAAAGCATTTGATTTCTTTCAGTATTTCTTTGCAGCCTGAATAACTATGCAGCTGCCTTTGAATATCTAGCAACAGAGACTTGCAGGATCAAGTGAGGAGCAGCGCTACCTTTAATTATTTATATCCAAATCCAAGTCCTGAGCACAGCATGATTAATTCGGCTACAAAGCAACAGCACAGGTCACATGCTGAATCCGGCCTCCCCAGGCCTGCAGCAGCACCGAAGCTGTTCTGCCACAGTGCTCTTTGTCATCATGAATCCATTTTCAAAAGCCCTCAACTTAAAAGAGCACTAATATGGATATAGGCAGAGTCTAGGGATATCCACAGCTGGACTTGTTGATTCAGGCATTAGCTCTGCTGACATCTCTGATGCCCAAGGAGAGAGTGGGCAGGGTTTTCTTTTTATGTGGAAATAGCTGATCAGCCACTGCAGCGTAACATCTAAGAATCATCTGAATTTTGAATTTACCCTGAGATGAGCATTTTAGCAGGGAAATGCACTTTCGCAGCTGTTTCACTTGCAAGTCTAGCTCTGCTTGTTTTTATTGCTAATACAGAAAAGTAACAGAAAAATTTTGACAGACACTTTCATGTCTACCTTGAGACTTTTTAACAACACAGTTTACAGGTATGTTTATTTACTAGTTAGTGTGGAACATTTATAATCCTGCCTTCACTATAGTTCAGGTCATTTGTAACTCCTATTTAATTTTTAACTAGGCAACAACTCATTAATTCTACTTAGTGTCTACAGTCCTTATTTGTGGTACAACATTCTGAGGCAATATGCTGATAATAGCACATACTGAGCTAGTTTGTGGTACGGAGAAGACATAGGTCTAAGATTACTTCAGGCTGGCTTTGGTAAATTAATTAGTGGAGAAGCCTCCTGAGGTTTACACACAGTAACACAAACAGCCCTATAGTCACGTATTTTGCATAACAGAAAGAAATCCTATCGCTATTACACCTTGTTTCTTGCACGTTTTGCATGAGGTCAGCAGTTAATGTTTAATGTACGTTTAAAGCAGTGTGTTCACAGTTAGCTGTAAGAAATTGTTCTAAGCTATTAGTAAATAAGCAATCTGCCATCACAGCTGGCTTGCAATCAAAACATGACAAACATCTAAACACGACAAACTGTAGCACCGATCAGCCATGCCACAGCTGCTCCACCGGAATTTCTGAAGAATAGGGATTGCTGATAAAACAACTGCATTGTTGTAAATAACAACAACAACAACGACGACGACAGTAGTAATCTCTTAAAAAGTGGTTATTCCTTTTTACCACAATTACAATTTTACTATCAAAACATTTTCTTTTTTTTCCTTTCAGATATGTACAAAATATTTAAGAAATCATAACTAAAATGCTTCTCACAGTTTCATGTTGTCAAAAGGGTCAACCGCATAGCCCTTGCATTTCAAGCTGCAATAACAACTGTTTATAGAGTTAAAAAATAAGAATAACTTTTTATCTGCTGCCTTCTGATTTTGAAGCCCACTGATTGTTGTGGGCTAACATTTAACCTGGAAAAGTAACACATGTGGCCATCTGGCACCCTGTTGATCACTCCCACAGCTCTTCCAACTCTTGCTGAAATCACCAGGAGTCCTGTGTACACAAAAAATACAGGCTGGGGCCCTGATGTTTGAATCAGGAATGCTTGAAATTATCACTCAAATGTCATGATTTACTCTTATGCAATCACGACATTGTTGCAAAAGTCCCATGATGGTAATATAGACGTGAATAATCTTTATTTGCTTTATTTGCTATTCGATTCTTTTTTGAGTCTAGCACACAATAAAGATGTTTTCAAGGAAAGACAGAATTTTCATTTTAAACAACAGTTTTCATGTTCAACTAATTACAAACTGCTGAGAGCTGAAGCTTTAAGACTCCTCCAAAAAGTATAACACCAACATAAAAATCGTAAGAGTTGGCAACGGCAAATACTCTTAAATGAAGGCTTCACCAAAGCCTCGCTTAATACTGAAAGAATTTTGTCCGTTCTCACATACTATAACAAATCTTGCCCCTCAGTCTGGGTTCAAATTTTTTCACTAGAGGCCGAGTACATGAACATTAGGGAGGAGTGCGTATCATTGCAAAGAGGGGGCTGCCACGTCAAGGAAGTATTCTGAACCAGGTGTTGAAAGCTTGTTCCATGCTGAATGCCTTTAGAAAAGAAGGAAAGACTATCACGTCTGGTAAAATACAAAAATTTGGTTAAAAAATTTGGTTAAAAGACTTGCCAATTATATTGTTATGGCTTACAGAGTAAGGGGTTTGTCTAAACACATACACCTGAAAGCAAAATTGTATTTCTTGAACTGACGAAAGCGGGTCACAATTAAAATTCACAGGATTCCCCTCCCGCCCCCAAAGGTTATGAGACTACCAAAAAAAAAAAAAAGGCGGCTGTGCTAAAAATGGGTACTGCTGTGGCTATGAGAGGTGTAGATGTAGCTTTGAGCAGGAATAGGGTGATGTGTTACCCCCGTATTCAGTTTTAGCAGGCTCCTTACTACAATATCGATTCCAGTTTTTGTGTCTACATTTTAGAAAGGATGTTGGAAAATTGGAAAGTGTTCAGAAAAGAGCTACAAGAATGATTTCAGGTCTGGAAAACATCCTTTGTAGTGAATGACTAATGAAACTCCATCTACTTACTTTTTCCAAGGGAAGTTTTTCCACGACTTTGTCATAGCCTACAAGTTGCTACATGGGGAAGAGTCTTCTGATAGATTAAATCTTGCAGAAAAGGACATTAAAAGACAGAAAGCTAAAGCTATGCAAAAGCTAAATGAGAAACAAGGCAGAAGCTGGTAACCCTGATGGCAATGAAATGCTGGCGTAATTTTCAGATGTGGTGGAATCACCATTACTTGGGGTCTTTTTTAACCAAGCTAAATATCTAACTAACAGGGATGCTCTAGTTCAAGTAGGCTTATTGTCCGGATGCAGACATTACTTAGTGAGGTTCACTGCCTGTATTACAGAAGAGGCAAGACTAGATAAATATACTAATAGCAAAATTGAAATATAGGAATTTATCTTATTAACCTCAATTAACCCTCTCCTTATAATTTCCTTTTTCGATGATTCCTGTGAAAAACGTGACAACTGTCAACCTTCTGGAGCACTGTGCTTGCAGCCTCTCATGCTGCATCCAGCTTTGTCTCATTATTTCCTCGGTACTCTGTCTCTAGCTGTTCTCTTGCATTTCAGACTCCGATTGCAAGTCTTCCTGGGCTGTAAACCAGCTTTCCCTTCTGTACAGATTCTCATGCAACTATGTTCTGACCCATGGCTCCAGGAATGAGGGTTGGTGAGCGCTATTGTAGCATATACAGATAAATAACCTTTTGAATGGTTATTTCAAATATATTGGCATGATTTCAAATATTATGGCATTTCAAATATTATGGCATTTCAAATATTATGGTATGATCACATGTGATGAACAGGAGTCCATTTACTCATTGAATTTTAAAACACAAGATCAATACAATTTAGGAAAAAACCCCCAACGACTTAAAAACACAAATGGATTTTTTTTTTTAAATTTTTTTTTTTTTTTTTTTACTTTCAAGAGTAAAACTTTAATTTTGATTTATTTCTAAGAGCTGAGATTTATATTAGCTGAATGCATTTGGAGGCGGGAGAGGCACTCAGCTTTCTGGCACCCTATCTACAGTGGTTGTGTAAGAGCGTGATTAATTCATTAATAAAGCATAGCTTGACAATGGGTAGCACTGAAAATATTACATATTAAGGGCACCAAGTGTTTGACGTGCTGCATGGAGAAGCCTCTGCCAGTGGGCCAGAGCAAGCACTAAAATAGAGCTGGCTGCAACCAAATTAAAACGTAAAAATAAAAATTAAAAAATCTTCACATTCACTTCAGAAGAGCTCTCAGGCTCTGTCTTAAGGGCGGGGGGCAGAGGGTAGAGCGCTTGTGTAATAACAGCAGCTTTGGCTAACAAAAAAGCAACTCCAGCAAAAATTGCTGAGAAGAGTCTATGAGTAGAAGGAAAACAGCACCTACTGGAAACAGCGGGATCTGGGGAGGGCCAGAACAATTTACACTGGCATTCAGTAGTTAACATTAAGCACATAAGGTCACTTATTAACAACATATAGGTTTTAACAACTGCTGACTGCAGGGAGGTGTGTTACTCATATGACCGCATCACGCCTCCCCTCCTCCTCTCCAAAGAGTGATCAAAGAGCAGAGATTCCAAATTGTGAAGCAATTTTTTCCAACGGGAGCATCTGGGTCGTTGGCACGTTTCACTGCGCGTTACACTGCAGCTCAGGAATTGCGTCCAGGTCTGCCACATGGTTGGGCTTGTGATGGACAGGCCAAGC